AGGATACCAGAAAATGGAAAGATCTTCCATGCTCTTGGATTGGTAGGATCAGCATAATAAAAATGGCAATCTTGCCAAAAGCAGTCTACAGATTCAATGCAATCCCTATCAAAATTCCGGCACAATTCTTCACAGACCTTGAAAGAGCAATAATCAACTTTATATGGAAAAACGAAAGACCCAGGATAGCCAAAACAAACCTCTACAATGAGGAAACATCAGGAGGCATCACAATACCTGACTTCAAGCTCTATTATAGAGCTATAGTCCTGAAAACACCTTGGTATTGGCACAAAAATAAGACACGTAGACCAATGGAACCAAATTGAAAACCCTGATTTTAACCCACGCACCTATGAACACTTGATTTTTGACAAAGAAGCTAAAACTATACAATGGAAAAAAGAAAGCATCTTCAACAAATGGTGCTGGCATAACTGGGTATTGGTATGCAGAAGACTGCAGATAGATCAATGTTTATCGCCTTGTACAAAACTGAAGGCAAAATGGATCAAAGATCTCCACATAAATCCAACCAACCACACTGAAACTCTTAGAAGAGAAAGTGGGAGATACTCTTCAACGAGTTGGTACAGGAGACCACTTCCTGAACATAACACCAGTGGCACAGACACTGAGATCAACAATTAACAAATGGGCCCTCCAGAAACTAAAAAGCTTCTGTAAGACAAAGGACACAGTCAACAAGACAAAAAGGCAGTCCACAGAATGGGAAAAGATATTCACTAACCCCACATCTGACAGGGGACTAATCTCCAAAATTTACAAAGAACTCAAGAAACAAGTCTCCAAAACACCAAAGGATCCATTTAAAAGGTGGGGTACAGAACTAAATAGAGAATTCTCAATAGAGGAGTCTAAAATGGCTGAGAGACACTTAAGAAAGTGCTCAACATCCTTAACCATCAGGGAAATGCAAATCAAAACAACTTTGAGATACTATCTTACTCCTGTCAGAATTGCTAAAATCAAAAACACCAAAGACAATTCATGCTGGAAAGGGTGTGGAGAGAGGGGAACACTCCTCCACTGCTGGTGGGAGTGCCAACTTGTACAGGCACTTTGGAAATCAGTATGGAGATTCCTCAGGAAAATGGGAATCAATCTACCACAAGACCCAGCAATTCCACTCTTAGGCATATATCCAAAAGAGGCAAATTCATACAACAAGGGCATCTGCTCAATTATGTTCATAGCAGCATTATTTGGAATAGCCAGAACCTGGAAGCAACCTAGATGCCCCTCAACTGAAGAGTGGATAGAGAAAAGGGGGTACATTTACACAATGGAGTATTACTCAGCAGAAAAAAAACAATGGAATCTTGAAATTCGCAGGTAAATGAATGGTACTAGAAGAAACCATCCTGAGTGAGGTAACCCAGTCACAAAAAGACAAACATGGTAGGTACTCACTCATATATGGATTTTAGACATGGATCACGATAGTGCCAGTCTGCACTTCCACTGGCAGAGAGTCTGGGAAACAGGAACGAACCTAAGATATATGCATGGTACCCCACAGAAGAGTAATGAGGCAAGATCCTCTGAACAGATGGGGAACACGGCAAGAGGTGGGGGGGAGTGGGAGCTGGGAGGAAGAGAGGGGGAGAAGAGGAAGAGAGAGCAGGTCATGGGGGAACAGGAAGGTTGAGTGGGGTGTAGAATAGGGGGAAGAGGGAATCATAGTTTAGAAGACAGATCAGGCACCAGTGTGACCTCTAGTGATCTAAAGGGATGACACCAACTGGCAAGCTAAGCAATAGTGGAGAGACCACCTCGAATGTCCATTCCTGATAATGAACTTGATGTCCATAACCATCCGGGAGCCTTCATCCAGTGACTGATGGAAGCAGAGGCAAACACACAATCACTGAACTGAACCCAAGGAACCCAGTGACAGAGAGAGAGGAGTGATGAGCAAATTGGCAAAGAATGGGCTGGCAAAACCAGCAGAGACAGCTGATCTGAACAGGGGAGAGCTCTTGGACCCCAGACTGATAGCTGGGAGGCCAGCATGGGACTGATCCAGAACCCCTGAGTGTGAGAGTCAGTGAGGAGGCCTGGGCAAACTATGGGGCCCTGAGCAATGGATCAGTGTTTGTCCCTGGAATACAAACAGACATGGTATGTCCATAACACAAAGAGGGATGCTCTCTCAGCATGGACTCTTAGGGGAGTGCCTGGACCCTGCCCTGAGTGAAATGACAGACTCTAGATATCCCCTATGAGGAAGGAAATGTCAGTAGGGTGGGAGGCTGGGGGGGATGGTCGGGGGGTGCGGGAGGAGGGGAGGGAGAGGGAACTGGGATTGACATGTGAAACAAGCTCTCTTTAAAAAGAGATTGGTTGTGATCATTAACCAATTATAAACAATCCCATTTACATGAAAACAAAGATTTATAAACAAGATGGGAATTAGGACGTCTCTCATTCCAAACTGCTTTGTGCTGGAAGGGGGCGCTGTTCATACCATGGGGATCATTATGAAACTCAGAAACCTGTGTAAGTCCTTATTTTCATGGTCTGTAAAGCTCCATCATCTTAGCTGTCTCAATTGTTGGAACACCTGGCCCACTGCTTCCGGGGGTCTTGGTTCATCAAACCACAGAAGCCTGGAAGGAATCCTCAGCTTTTCATTTTCTGTAGAAACATAGACAAAAACTCCTTTCCAAAGTCACATATCCTTATACTTAAATTTTGAAGTCAAGGCATTTTTAAAAGGTATAAGTTGGTATAAGTTGGATTAACTCAGCAGCATTTATAATCAAGTGTACTTTAGCAGTTGTTCCTTCCTGAGCAATCAAAAACTGAAAAACACAATAGCATACACTATCCAGACTTTCTGTGTATTTTCCATCTTTACATGGCTTATTTATTTATCTATATTAATACTGTATTTCATTTACTTTTATTTCTTTATTTATTTCTCTGAGACAGGGTTTCTCTTTTGAAATCTGCCAGCCTCTGCCTCTGCAACAATCCTACGGTCATGCAGTACCTACCTAACACAGCCGGCTTCTCTACTTATTTACCACTTTGCCGTTTCTTTTTCTCTCTCAATCTTATGTATATTTTTAAACACACTGTAAACCTTTAGAGGTTTTTCTTCATCCAAGTCTGACTTTACTGGATATCTTCATGTTTTTCTGGCCACGTGTCTTGTCTGTTAAAACCGCAGCTGTTTAAACTGCAGTTTTTCCAAGATGGCGGGCATAAGCGTGATTCCAGCTTACAGCCTCAGTCCATGCTGACATCTAGCAAAAGCTGCCGGCCTAGAGATGTGGTCACTGCCACTTCCAGCTGCATGTACACACCTTTCAATCATTAGCAGAGCCTCTTAAAAGAACCTTGTTTTTGTTTTGTTTTTTTATGCCGAGTCAGGAAGACTCCCTTAAGCAAGCCGCATGAGTCTTTGCTTGTCGCTAGCAAAACAGAGCCCACCTGACAAAATGCTGCTACCAAAAATCTGTGCTTCTCTCCATTCTTCTGTTTCTAAAACTCCTTTAAAGCTTTTGTCATTCTACGTGGAAATTTATGATCCCACTCCTGATCCCCAATATGTAAAGGGAAGCCTTCCAGCCAGCCTGGTTCCAGAGTCGCATCAGTCCCAAATAAACACACAGGAGGCTATATTAATTATGAAGCTGTTGGCCTTGCTTGTTTCTTACTGGTTAGCTCTGACTTGAGAATTTACCCCATAATTGTTAATCGAAGTATTTCTGTTACCGGAGAAATTCTGGGCTTCCTACCCCGTGGCGGTTACATCTCGACTCCCTGTGTTTCTCCTACCCAGAATCCTCCTCAACTCCTAGTCCTACCTATCTTGCTTCCCTATTGGCCAACATTGCTTTATTGACATATACACAGGACTTCCACCATCACCTTCCCAGGGTGACCCATGAGTCTCTCTCAGGGTCCTCCTTGTTACCTAGCTTCTCTTGAGCTGTGGATTGTTTTCTGGTTATCCTTTGTTTTACATCTAATATCCACTTATGAGAAAATACACACTGTGTTTGTCTTTCTGAGTCCGGGTTACCTCACGCAGGATGGCTTTTTCTAGATTCATCCTTTTGCATGCAAATTTCATGAAGCCATCATTTTTACAGAGGAGTAATACTCTATAAATGTACCACATTTACATTATTGATTCTTCGGATATGGGACATCTTGGTTGTTTCCAGGTTCTGGCTATTATTGGGGAAATGTCCAAGAGAGGTATCGCTGGGTTTAGGTGTTCATAGGTGTGTAGATTAATGTCAGGGTCTTCAATACTATTTCATTGATCAACCTGTCTGTTTTTATGCCAAGACCAAGCTGTTTTTATTACTATAGCCCTTTAGTAGAGTTGGAAGTCAGGGATGGTGATGCCTCTAAAAGTTCCTTTAGTGTACAAGATAGTTTTAGCTATTCTGGGTTTTTTGTTTTCCATATGAAGCTCAGTATTGTTCTTTCAAAGACTGTGAATAATTGTGTTGGGATTTTGATGGGGATTGTATTGAATCTGTAGGTTACATTTGACAGGATTGTCATTTTATTATGTTGATTCTACCTATTCAAGAGCATGAGAGATCTTTCCATTTTCTGGTATATTCTTTAATTTCTTTCTTTAAAGACTTGAAGTTCTTGTCATGCAGGTATTTCATTTGTTTGATTAGGGTTACCCCCAAGATATTATGTTGTTTGTGGCTATTGTAAAGAATGATGATTCTCTAATGTCTTTCCCAGTGCAATTATTATCTATATATAAGAGGGCTACTGATTGTTTTTAGTTAATCTTGTATCCTGCCACCTTATTGAAGGTGTTTATCAGCTATAGGAGTTCCTGGGCAGAGTTTTGGGTATCACTTATGTATACTATCATATCATCTGTGAATAGTAATAGTTTGACTCCTTCCTTTCCAATTTGTATCCCCTTTACCTAATTTTACAGTCTTATTGCTCTAGCTAGAACTTTGAGTACTATATTGAATAAATATGGAGAGAGTGGACACATTGTTTTAATGACTGTGGTTATAATGGCCAGGTATGCCATCATTGGAAACAAAGTACTATTTAAACTTGGTGAGGGGGATTCAAAGTTCCTTCTAACAAAGATGCCAGATAATACAGCAATATTGAATGAAAGTGATAAATGTAAGGTATGTTCTAGGTACTTTTATGTCAGCCCGATATAAGCTAAATCCTCTGAGAGGAGGGAACCTCAATTTAAAAAATACTTCCATAAAATCAGGCAAGCTTGTAGGTCATGGTCTTAATGACTGATGGATGGAAGAGGACTCCACCCATGCTGGTGGTGCTTTTCTATGAGAAAGCAGGCTGAATGAGCCATGAGGAACAGTCCAGTGACCAGCACCCACCATGGCCTCTGCATCAACCCGGCTCCAGGTTCCTTCCCTGTTAGAGCCATGTCCTGCTTTCCTTCAGTGATAAACAATGACTTGGAAGTCGAGGCCAAATTAACTCTTTCCTCCCCAAGTTCCTTTCGTCATGATGTTTCCTCACAACAATAGTTGCCCTACCTGAGGCAAGGTGACACCAGCATAGTGTGGCAGAGTTGTGACAGACCTGGTCATGGTTTGTGGGTAGAATTGTAGAAGGACTTTGGAATTGTAGACTAGAAGAATCATCTCATGTTGAGAGTTCACTGGAGCATTCTTTAGGAGCGTGGAAGAAAACCGTGTGGAAGAGTAGGACAGCAGATGCTACTGTGCCAATGAACTGAGTCAAAGGGTCTGATTAGCTGGGGCTGAGGAATCACCTGTGATTAACAAGGTACCAGAACCACTAAAGTGAGACTTTGCTTTGCTGGGGACTCCATGCTGCTCAGCTGGAGCTGAGAAATTAGCAGTGATTACGAAGAGACCAGCATCTTTAGGCGAGGTCTTCTGGAAAGTATTTCCTGAGAGTCAGCATCAAGGCTGTGTTCCAGACATGGCCAAGTTTGTATCCTGGCTGAAAGCCGAACTAAATTTGAAGGTGTGAAGGGGACACGGAGAGCAGCTGAGGCTTGGCAATGTGTGCCAGAGTCAGAGTCCATGCAAACAGCCCAGAATAGGCTACTAGTGAAAGTGGAGCTGCAGCAGAAGACCCAGCATTTTGCAGACGCCAGTGTCATGGGACGACAACCAAGAGCAGCAGTGGCAGTGAATGGTCCAGCCAGTTGATAGAAGACAAGCTGTGTGTCAGATCATGGAGTGGAGAAGCTGTCGGTGTGCAGCATATAGTTCAATCATGGATCCTGTGTCCAGGTTCTCCTGGGGACTCCAAAACTGGGCCCCTTCTCAATCAAGACTTTCTAGTGCAGCCAGCCTCCTAAAGACCATATTAAAAACAGAGTCTAAGGAACTGCAGAATGTAAGAGCTTCAGGAAAAGGGAAGTGTCATGAAAGTCCCAGCTGAGTAACTGGAGACATGAAAACTGATGTCATCCCCAAAGAAGAGCAGAGATGTAAGCTGCCCTAGTTAGTGTTCCATTGCCACTCTTGTGAAGGAGAGCATTTGATTAGGGCTGGCTTACAGTCTCGGGGGTTTAGTTCATTGTTGTCATAGCAGGGAGTATGACAGCACACAGCAGACATGATGCTGCAGAAGAGGCTGAGAGTTCTCCATCGGGATCCTCGGGCACAGGAAGAGAGGGAAACATGGGACCCCCGTGTCTTCATCCAACAAGGCCACACCTATCCCAACAAGAATACCTCCAAATTCTTCTCAGTAATGCCACTCCCTGATGAGTTAGCACTCAAATATGTGAGCCTATGATGGTCTGTCTTCAAACCACCACATAAGCTCACTGCCTCAGTTTCCCTCCTGTGCTCTGCACCTCTGCTCCAGACTGGGGCCTGACATCAGGGTTGTCTTTGTAATGTTCCTCCTTTCCTACATTTCTTCAAAGCATCTTTTACAAATCCAGCATCCACACACAAAGGATGACAACAGCTGTGCAGACAAAGTCTCTCACACTATTCCACTCTGTCTGCTGATATCAAAGCCAAGACATGATCCCACAAGCTTATTGTGTCTTAGGATAACTGCTGTTGTACCAAAGGCTTTACCTGGGCAGATGCGTGCACACACACACACACTCACTCACCTCATCATCAGAACCTAACACAGACCAAAGCACAAGCGCAGGAAGGTCCAACTTGGGGAACCACTGGGTTTTCTGTGGGGTTACTAACAGGAGTGGGGAGAGGAATCACTTACAGGAGCTGGGATGAATTCACAGCAGGTTCATCACTGCAGAGCTCACCTCACTGAAGAGCATAGCTGAATCTGCACAGCTTGCAGGCCTCGGACAGATCTGGAATCTTATATGAGCTAGACTGGTCATTGTTGTCTCCTTCTACAGCCTGGTTTGTCCTCTAAAACTTCTTGGTTTCACTTTCTCAACCACGGGAAGTTTCTTATTTCCTGGGTCTAAGGAAGAAAGGTGTGGTCATCCTACATAAAATTAGAAGTCATAAAGTGTCAAGATGCATAAATATGGAAAACTTTAAAAGGCCAGCTTCCAAAATTTTCACTCAGGGTTCAAAATAGGAACTACAAATAAGGGAGGGAACTATTATCTGAGGGAAAAAGAAACTGACTCACACACAATTGCTTCTCTGCATGTTCTTAATTCTTCTCTCTTTGTCTCCTGCTGATCTGTTTCTCTGTCTAACTATCTCTGCACCTCTTTGTCTCTCCGATTCTTGTCGTTTTTCTCTCTAGCTCTTTTTTCTGTTTCTTTTTCTCTATATATCTGGTCTTCCCCCAGTGCTTGGGTGTACAGGTATACATATACACTTTTACAGCAATAATTCTTTGTAAAATACAATGTGAGGCTTCAGTTTCTCAGGGTCAGCAAGGCAGATAAGATTTACACACAGAACAATAAACTACAACTGGTAGGAGAAGTTTTAGCATCAGTGGCTTAGTGCTGTAAGTCAAAGAGAAGTCTAATTTTAATCTGCAACAGAAACAAAACCTGGTGCCTTCGAGTGCTCTAGCCTCAGTGGGAGCACAGGCCTTCAGGAAAGTTTGCATTTGCCTGAGGATGAGGAAAAGAGACGCATGACGTACAACGACTAATAGGTTTTGTTTTTAATGACTCAAAAGAGGAAAGGTGATGTCACTTTTCAGTTTCAGTGTATCCCTGTCTGTCTGTCTGTCTGTCTGTCCAAATACCACAGGTAAGACGTGGCTCCAAGTTGCTATGGTCTGATGGCCTTAGAGTACACATGCCCCATTCAGTCTGTGGGCCGTGCAGCGACGATGAAAAAAAAAAAAAAGGCAGGGCTTTGGAATTCAGGTTTGTAAACTACTTCAGGTTGAGCAGCATGCGGTGGGGTGGGACCAGCTTTATGAGCCTGGAGATTGGACGATGACAGACAGCAGTGCTCCACTCAGATCATAGTCTCCTCCTCCCAAAGGGAGGGACTAAGGCTGTTTGCCTGCTGTTCTCTCCGATGACACCATTAGTAAACCTGTTGTTCTGTTGTTCATGGTATGGGAATGGACTCAGCCGCCTGGCACTGTCTTTCCACCAAGGCTCTGAGCATCTCCGTTCTACTGATTTCTTCAGAGTTGATGTGGCCCGCTGGTGAGTTACTGTGGTCTAACTGGAGGGCAGCAGGGAGTAGGAGGGCGCTCGAAGCAGGGATGGGCGAGAATCCGGGGAAAATACCAGCTTATTGAATCACAAGGTGAATGTCTTCCTCTAGGAAACAGCCTCTGACACATGTTCCCTTGCCCGCCCCACCACTTTCCCAGCCAAGGAATGCTGCATGAAAGTTATATTACCAGGAGGACAAATAAGGAGGGCAAGATGCCAGAGGGGAATCCTGGTGCTGCTGTCAGCTCTCAGCCGAACTGGGGTCCACAGGAAGCCTAAACCGAGTCAGGAGACCCTGAGGTGGTGGTCACAGTGAGAGACCCTTGGCAGTGTGTGTTCTGAAGACTCTTCCCAGGGCTGTCTGCACAAGCTCTCCACCATTCCTGAACCTCTTTGCCGCAAAACTTACTTTCTCTGCTTCCCACCGTATTTTTCAAGCAGATCACAACAGATGCTTCACGGATCTCTTTCTCTTTTTCACTTTCTCCCGTTTATTCTTGCTTTTGCTTTGTTTTATGGCAGAATTTCACACCGTGGTTCACACTAAAGAATGTGCAACACTCCCTTCTCTCCCTAGGTCTGTCAAGGGCTGGGATTAGGGATTTCTACCACCAAGCTCAGCTTTGGTCCCATCTGACTCTTCAACCAGCTGCCTGCTCTGCTCCCTTCCCTGCCCCTCCTACTTTCCCATCCATTTTCAGTCCCTTCCCACCGGGAGACATTCTGTGGATTAGCTCCTCAGCTAATCAGGGGCGACTATGACGGATCCTGGCAATGGTACTGGGTGTGGTATGTGGAAGGTTCTGCCCTTGCCTCCTACGCCACTGTGGTGATGACTAGAGGCCTTGACTCCCTGCACTTTGCCAGTGAGGATGAATCTAGATGTCACAGAACCATGATTCCTTCGTACCTCACAGTCACGTATCTCTCACAGGTACTCACTATCTCAGATGCGACTTCAGTATCAAGTCTCATCCCACAGATGGAGAGGAAGGTTGGGAAGTACAGTGCACGGCAGATGGAATGACTTTACTTCACCATAGTAACGGAGGAAAGGCGGTAAATGCTGCTAAGACATGTGGAGGTTTGTACCCAAAACTAAAAGACACTGGAGAAGAGTTGAGGAAGCAGCTACTTCTCATGGAAAAGGAGGCAGTGCTGACCAGGGGTAAGTAAGGGACAGGATGCAAAGAGAGAGGGTATCAATAAGAGACAGCAAGGACAGAGCCCTTGTGGGAAGGTGGCTGTGGCTGTATTAGCATAAAAGACATGAATCCTGCCCCAGGCTGGAAGGACTTGGTACCCAATGGGTAAGAAATGATAAGTCTGGAAGGAAAGAAAGCAGGTCCTGAGGGTGCAGAGGAAGACTTGACCTCTGAGGGGGTGATGGCTCTATAAAGGGAGGAGATGACCATTTTGTGTCTCATGTGCAGGCCATCACGCCATGGAGGGCACCATGGTATCTCAATATAAACATGGACAACGCATTGATGCCTCCTGGAACTTCACCATTGATGGACAGCATTCCTTCTTCTATGTCCACTATAATCAAAACAACAAGAAATGGGAAGTGATTAACTATAACGCCACAGGTGTCCTAGAGAATTGGGAGAATAATGCAGAACTAGCACAAGATCTAGCAATGCTCTCCATGGGAGATTCCAGACACTGCCTTGAGGAATTCTTAAAGCACCAGAAGGAAATGCCAAGTAAGTAGTTAGGTAGATTACCACAAGGAAACCTCCAGAGGGTTGGGAAGGCATGGCAATTCTCTTGAAAAGTCTGGTGACTTCCCTGTGTAGATGTCAGCATGTGTGCATAATGGAGGATTCAATAGACTGAATTCGTGATTTCTTGATGGTCTCCCCACTGATAACCACAGGGTTTCCTCTTTCCCATCTCATCTCCCAATGTTTCTCACTCCCTATTAATCAATGGTCCAGGCACTGCATGGCCTGCTAGTGGCCCAAGTCTGTGAGTATCACTGTAAACGTCCAGCCTTCACTGTAAACGTCCAGCCTTTCCTTCCTCACTCAGAGCTGCCCTTCCTCCAGGTCCACAATACTTGGAAAGGCTTCAGTATCTTTCTCTGGTGCAATTAAACAACAATTGAGCCAACATCCAGAAAGTTCTCACCACAGTAAATATCTCACATTGTTTGATGGTTTAATAGACATTTGCTTTCTTTGGTAACTAAGTAAACCTCAAGGACATCTTACACAAAACTCTGCTCAGGAATTGAAAAACAGTTATTACACCTGAGTTCCTCGGGCTGTCTGGGGAGAGGAGGTGCTGATGGAGGTGTGTTTGAAACTTTATCCAGAATTTTTCTGATTTTTTTAAAGGAGCAACATCAAGAACCGCAAACATCACAGAGATTGCATCTGCCACCCAGCATCCATGTGCCATGAACACCACCCAGCTTCCACCTATCAGGCAGCTTCATGAAAACAGAGAATCCATGGCAGTAGCCATCCCCATCATCCTCTTTGTTATTGCTATTGTTGTTGCTATTGTTATTGGCAGTGGCATTGGCATTGGCATTTGCACTTTCAAATATTTGAAGAAGAAATGTCATCCCCAAGAAGGTAAGAAGGGAGCTGTGGTCCCATTCTGGTTTTTCGCAGGGTTAGTCTGCTGAGGACTTGTAACAGGTGTCCCACTGGGTATCAGGGATGTGAATTCTGGTCTTCATGCTAGCATAGCAGAGCCTTAACCACTGAGTCATCTTCTCATCCCTCCAACCTTTCACAGTCTGCCTGCCATTTCCCTACAATGTCTTCTGCTCAGACACCAGGAACTGAAGGAAACACACTCCCGAATGCCCCACTTGCCTGTGCCACTGCCCTGACACTTGCCATGTACTCACTCCATGTGAAGTAATTTGCACACACTCATTAGGACTCCCCATTTTACTCTTTCCTGCTCACCTCCCTCCATGCAGCGAGCAGTTGACTGAATACATAGAGAGCATGAGATCCTGGGCCAGTGTGTGTCCTGGGCAGTGTGATTGCTCTGGTAAAGTTCTCGTGTGCTGAAGCTGTTCACGTCACAGGAAAAGAACAAGAATTTGTGGAGTTGGTTCTTCCATCTGTCCCTCTTGTTCCAAAGATTCAGCTCAGGTTATCACGTCTGTACCAAAAGCTCTTTTCCCACAGAGACATTTCAGTGACCCTAGGACAAGGAGTTGGCACAGCCTGTGGTGTGCTATGGCACAGCAGGGTGACCATAGTGACACTGCTCCACAGTTCTCTTCATCAGGAAGACGCCCAAGATCTTAATAAAGACATCTCTCAACTCAGTTTCCCTATTTTGTCCTCAAGCATTCAAAGAGCACTTTTCTTTACCTAAGAACATGGGTATGTGAGCAGCAGGACTGCACACCTAGAGGGGCAGCATATAGAAACTTTCAGAATGGAGACTCCTTGAACTTAGAATTTATGTCTGATGCTGTCATTTAAACACCTACAAGACTCTGTTCCTCACTCTAATGTTTCCAGTGTAACACCATATGGTTAGCCAAAATGCTATCAGTGGCAATTGTTGTCACTTCCTGGTATAGCACTACATGAACATGGGGAGTTAGAGCTAGCATCCCAGCACTGGGGAAGTGGAGCCAGGGGATCAGGAATAAAAAGCCATCTTTGATTGTGTAGTGAGTTTAAAGTCAGTTCCAGCTACAAGAGGAGACCCAATCTCACAGAAAGAAAGACTAGAAATTATTATTACAATTTATCATCATCATCATCATTATTATTATTATACATAGGTTTATGTCTAAATAAATCTTATTGGAGAATGGCACTAAATATTATGCCTGTGTCATACTCCATGCATTAGTAGCTGTGCCTTTATGATAGTCTTTAAGACAAAAACAGAATAAAAAAAGTTTATTTACCAGGTGGCACTGCAATACATATCTGTACTTCCAGCACTCAAGAGGCTGGGGCAAAAGCATCACCAATTTCAAGGCCAACTTGAACTGCATGGTGAGATCCTGATGAAACAAGCAGCCAATCAAAAAAAACAAACAAAGCGAAACAAAAAGAGAACCTATATAACCTGACCGCTTTCTTTGCTAGACTTCAGTGCACATGAAACTTCAGTGCTAATCTTGGTGTCCTTTGGAATTGCAAAAAATGTTTACAAAGCTCATTCTCCTCACCAACATCATTACATTTTGCCATCTGCAGTCTAGAGGTAGCATACAAAGTGTGATGGAGATGGCCAAGAGACTGATTTTCTATTATGTCAAATCTCCCCTATAACCATGCCTAGTTAAAAAGATTTACATCTAATATCGGTTAATATGAAACCCTGTGTTTTATTTTGCTTTTTCAGTATTTGAGTAGGTATAATTATTTCAATATGATTCTTTTTAATTTTTCTACTAGGAGAGAGCTGTAACTACACATTTTTCAGTCCAGTTTCCCAAATTTGGGGAAATTGCAAGGGTCAGCACACCCCAAGTTCAATGGGTGAACCTCACCCTGAGAATACCACAAACATGATGGTGATGTATCCCCTACTAGGTAAGCATTCAAGACATTTGTTTGTTTGTTTGTTTGTTTGTTTGTTTTTATAAACTGTAAACTCTGGGTAGTATTGCACATGCTCCTGATCTCAACACTTGAGAAGCAGGGATAAAGAGCCTGTGGTACACATGAAGTTCCAAGAAAACTTGGACCAGAAACCATTGCCTTGTCTGAAAAGAACCACAAAAACTCATTAAAAGTAAAGTGAAAGCTAAACTACAAATATAGATATTTGGGGACCTTTCACATGTCAAAACCTCATTTCCATCTGAAGGACAAAAGAGCAAAAAGGATTAAAGTAAAGACACACACAAACACACACACACACACACACACACGATGAAGTGCACGTCTGTGAAGTGGGGAGATCGCGCATCTGAAATGGAGTAGAGTGGGCTGCAGATATGCAGGTGCCCACTCTAACTGACCCCCTTTTGTTACCAGGTGCTTCTCTGCAATGCTCCCCTGCATCCTCATCTGCAGTCTGATCTACACTCACTGTCTCCAGCTGCCGCTGCTACTCCTCTTCTGCATCACAGCCAGGAAAGAAAGACACCTGATGATGTTGGGAATCTACCGTTTGACTTCTGATCAAACATGGTGTGAAATATTTAAGTTGACCGTCTCCATGCCTCCTCTATCTCTTCCTCAAGATGTAACAGGTCATTGTTTCCAGAGACTCCATCTAACTTTATTCCTGTCCCCTTTCTCACTCTTAGACTATCACCATGAGGAGATTAGGCTACTCCCTGGGCTAGGTTACTCCTTATTGTGTAAAATGATGGCTTTTATCCTGGGTTTTCCTCAAGGTGACTCCATTTTAAAAGCAACAAGTTGATGCCTGGCCATCTCCTGTACACTTACACATGCCTTCTGTCTAGCACCAGCCATAAGACAAAGTCAGATAAATGCCTTATTCCTAAAAGTCAAAGACATCACTCATACACATATCAAAATCAATTACACACATGAGCATGAGGGCATTTCAAAATCATCTGTGCTGGATATGTAATGTCAACTTGACACAAGCAAGAATTATCTGAAAGGAGGGAACCTCAATAGAGAAAATGTCTCCATAAGATCCAGCTATTGGGCATTTCCTTAAATAGTAGTTGATGGCAGAGTGATGGAGAATTTTCTTCTGTGTATATGTTTCTCTTATTCCTTAGTGAATAAAACACTGGTTGGCTGATGGGCCAGACAGGAAGTGAGATACCTGGACAGAATCAGGATATAAGCTGGGACAAACAGCAAATTGCTCTCTTCTCTGTTGGAATGCTGAGCAGTCATCATGTAGCAGGCACAGTAATTGTAGGCCCGGCATTCCCTGGTAAGCCAAGACCACATGGAAATATATGGATTAATAGAAATGGGTTAATAATTAAAACAAAGCTAGCAAATAAGAAACACTAGTTGCCAGCCAACCAAATCATAATTAATATAAGACTATGAGTGTTCATTTGGGGCTGACACAGCTGTGGAACCAGGCTGGGAGGGAAAGAATGCTGACAAGAGGAGAGGGCCCAGTCCACTGTGGGTGGTACCATCCCTGGGCTGATGGTCCCAGGCTCTATAATAAATCAACGGAACAAGCTGTGGGGAGCAAGTCAGTAAGCAGCACCCTCCATGGCCCGTGCATCAGCTCCTGCCTCCATGCCGCCCTGCTTGTATTTCTGTTCTATGTGATGGATACCACATGGAAGTGTAAACCAAATAAACCCTTTCCTCCCCAGCTTGCTGTTGTCATGGTGTTTCTTCACAGCAATAGAAAGCCTAAACAAGACAACATCTGAACAATCAGACCTGAGAAATTGTCAAATGTCCCAACCTCAAGTAGGAGCAGCACCCAAGCCTGGACCCACAAGAAGAGCCACCTGTGACAGGCTTGGGTGGGCGTGGACAACAACCAGCTCCCACACCATGACATGGAGAATAATTATTAGTTACGGATGCTTATCTTTGGTAACTCTTATCATTTAAATTAACTTGATTTTGCCTTGGGGCTTTTTACCATTTTTTTTCTTTGTATATCTTACTTTCATGCTGTTTCCATGTGTGGCTTGGGGACAGCTGCCTGGCTTCTGACCCTGGGTGAATCCCACCTCTTTTTCCCCTTCTCTCCTCTTCGCTGAACCTAAATTTCTTCTCTTAGTTATTCTCTCTGCCCACCATCCTGCTTGTCCCTCTTTGCCCAAGCTATTAGCAATTCAACTTTTTTAGTACACAAAAATAATCAGTTGCCTTAACCAGACAATGTGAACATATCTTTACATAATTAAGCAATGCAGCATAAACAAAGATGTAACACATCATTACATCATTAACCATGGCAGCAGAAACAAATGTAACACATGTTCACATAGTTAAATATTCCTCAACAAAAACAAATGTAACCCATCTTCAAATAGTTAAGGTAACATTCTGCAACATAAACAAATGTAACACATCTTTACACAGTTGAAATAATATTCCACAACACAACCTAACACAACTACCTTGATGCCCATCACTCACCTCACAACACACTCCCCTGTGAGCAACAAGAGACCATCAAGCAGAGAACTGATGTCCTCTGTGCTTCAGCTCAGGGCTAGCACATGTGTCTATTCCTAACCATGCTGTGTGTCCATTATCTAACTGGGTCCCTCCCTCCCTACCCCCCCATGGTCCTCACTTCACCCCCTGCAGTTCCATTCAAGCCTGAACCTGGCTGAGCCCCTTTACTCCCTAGCTCTCCAGTTGGCTCCTAAATATATTGAGACACCAACTACCTCTGCACCAGCTCTCTACCTGGGACTTTAGTGAAGCTTCTATGTGTGGATTTGTTAATCCTTCCACTTACACACATACATTGCATGCATGTACACACATATGCACTCATATGATATATATAAACCTTCATAACCAATCCATAACTTATACACATATATCACATACATGGACACAGGCAGACACACATATACATACAGATAACATACATGCACAGACATGTATATTTACATACACATACATGAGTATACATACATTTCTATATATATATAACTGTGATGTGTAATATAAGATCTGACAGTTAAAATTAGTAATAAATATTGGAATAAAATAACCCATATTTGCCAATGACCACCTATCAAAATAATTGGAATTACTTGACAAATTTTAGCAAAAAAAGATGTAGGATTATTAATTCATTATTATGCAATAAATACTGATATTGTAGAATGAAACAAAAATGTCCACCTACATTTCTGACATAGCATGTTCATTGAAAGATTCCATTTATTAATGGAATCCTAGAAGAAAATAACCCTTTGGCAAAGTAATCTGAAATACACAAATTTTTGTCAATGAAGTAAAACCACTTGGTGATGTAATAAAATTCATCAGCCCTGCCAGAGACTCCTGAACAGACACTAAGCTTGCTCTGTTGACCCAGGGCCTATTGCATACCACAGTGTAACCTTACACTGTTCAGGTGACTCCCGACCCATGGGCTAGAATGAGGGAAACCTCCAATCCAGGGAGATGAAGAGTCAGAGGTAAGAGGGCTGGCTAGGCACATGGTCTCATCTGTGAGAGGTCCCGACTCATGAGGAATTGTTTAGCAAAGTTAAGTAAGAAATAAAGCAGAACAGAAAGAAAGAAGCAAACCTCAGATCACATCCCACAGATCCCAGCATTCTGACCAACTCTCTGTGGATTATTCATCCATTGTGACCTGAGTCAGGTCAGCCCCAAAGCCACGAGTGTCCAGATGAGCATGGAAGTTTCAAGAAGGACCATTGCTCTAAGCGCTATTAAGATGTAAGCAGGGCTCAATGAGGAGTCTCCTTTTAATGCCTAATGCTCTCTAGTCAGAATCCCTGTCTTGTATGATTTTTTATCTGCCTCCCAGAGACACACTTCCATAGGCAGTGAAGACCACTTCTCCAGCAAATACTTCAGTTCACAGCTGAACCAGCTTTGGTACTGTCTTAGTTAGGGTTTCTGTTTCTATGAAGAGACACCATGGCCAGGGCAACTCATATCAGAGAAGACATTTGATTGGGGCTCCCTGATAGTTTCAGGGCTTTAGTCCATTATCATCAAGGCATGACATGTCAGCTTGCAGGCAGACACGGTTCTGAGGAAGACCTGAGAGTTCTACATCTTGGTCTGCAGACAGCAGGAGGAGACTTAGTCACACTTACCCAGCCTGAAGTTCTAAAAACTCAAAACCTACCTCCAACAAGGTCACACCTTCTCTCCCAAGACCACAGCTCATAATAGTGCTACTCCCTATGGGCAAACATTCAAACACATGAGTCTATTTGGGTCATACCTATTCAAGCCACCACAGTCAATTCCTACAGGTGACAGGTCTTTCTGTCCTGTCTCCCAGGCTGAACATCCCAACATAGACGACACATAAGAGAATGACCTTAAAAACAACTTCATGAAGATGATAGAAACCCTAAAAGAAGAAATGAGAAAATCCTTTAAAGAAATGGAAAAACAAAACAAACAAAAAAAATTTCAAGAAATGGAGGAAAAGACAAACCAAAAATTTAACATTGCAAGGTTTGAAAGCTGAAATAAAGATAATAAAAAAGATACAGTCTGAGGGAATGCTGGAATTAGAAAAGGCTGGGTAAATGATCAGTAACTACAGATGCAAGCATATCCAACAGAATACAAGAGTTGGAAGAGAGAATCTCAGGCATGGAAGATACACTAGTGGAAACAGATTCATTGACCAAAGAAAATCTTAAGTCCAACAAATCCCTGACACAAAATATCCAATAAATATGGGACACCATGAAAAGACCAAACCTAAGAATAATAGGTATAGAAGAAGGTGAAGTAAACCACCTCAAAGGTGTGAAAAGATCAAACCTAAGAATAACAGGGATAGAGGAATGTGAAGAAACCCACCTCAAAGGTGCAGAAAACATATTCAACAAAATCTAGAAGAAAACTGTCCCAACCTAAAGAAACACACGCCAATGAAAGTACAGAAAGTTTACAGAACACCAAATAGAGTGGACCATGAAAAACACCCTAACCACATAATAATCAAAACACCAAACATACAGAATAAGGAAAGAATATTAAGAGGAGAAAAGGAAAAATGCCAAGTAACGTATTCAAACAAACCTATCAGAATTACACCTGACTTCTCCATGGAGCTCTGAAAGCCAGAAGGTCCTGGATAGATATTCTACAAACACTGAGTAACAATGGTTGCTTATCCAGACTACTGTATCCAGCAATATTTCAATCGCTATAGATAGATAAATTAATATATTCTATGACAAAACCAGATTAAAACAATTCATATCCATTAGTCCAGCCCTACAGAAAGAACTGGAAGGAAAACAGCAACCCAAGGAAGCTAACTACACTCCCAAAAACATAGGCAATAGATAATCCCACCTCACCAAAAGTCAAAAGAAAAAGCAGAGTAAATCCACACACACAATTCCACCACCAATAGCAAGTCCAAAACGAACAAGAATTAATATTCAGTGGTCCTGAATTTCCAGCAATGGTCTTCACAGGCTAACGGAATGGATACGAAGGCAGAATCCATCCTTCTGCTGCATAGGAGAAACACAACTCAACTTCAAAGATGGACATTACCTTAGAGTAAAGGATTGGGAAAAGATTTTGGGGATCCAAGAAACAAACTGACAGACATAGCTATCCTAATATTTAACAAATTAGACTTCAAACTAAAATCAATCAAAAGAGATGAAGAAATTCACTTCATATTCATCACAGGAAAAATGCATCCAAATGAAGTCCCAATTGTGAACATCTATGCCCCAAATACAAATGCACCCATGTTTGTGAAACAAACATTACTAAAACTCAAATCCCACATAAAACATCACATACTTATATTGGGAGACTTCAACACCCCACTCTCACCACTAGACAGGACCATCACACAGAAACTTAACAAAGAAACAAAGAACTAACAGAAGTTAAGACCCAATTGGGTTTAACAGACATGTATAAAACATTCCACCCAAACACAAAAGAATATACCTTCTTTTCAGCAACACATTGAACCTTCTCTAAAATTGATCACATACTCGGCAACACAGCAGACCTCAACAGATACAAAAAATTGGAATAACCCCCTGTGTCTCATCAGACCACCATGCTTTAAAGTTAGAATTCAACAACATCACAAATTTGCAGAAACCCTAAAAGCTCATGGAAATAGAACAATGTGCAATTGCACAATTGCTGGGTCAAGGGAGAAATAAAGGAAGAAATTAAAGACTTCCTAGAATTCAATGAGAATGAAGATACAATATCCCCAAACTTATGGGACACTTTGAGAGCAGTGTTAAGAGGAAAGATAGAAAATTAATAACACAACTGAAAGCCCTAGAACAATAAGAAGCAAGCTCACCCCGGAGGAGAAGATGCCAAAAAATAACCAAATGGATGGCTGAAATCAATAAAGTAGAAACTAGGAAAACTATACAAAGAATCAATGGAACAAAGACGTGGTTCTTCAAGAAAATTAACAAGATAGACAAGCCTTTATCCAAACTAACCAAAAGGCAGAGAGAAAACATGCCAATTAACAACATCAGAAATGAAAAGGCAGACATAACAATGGACACAGGGGAAATCCAGACAATCATACTGTGAAAAACTGTGCTCGACAAAACTGGAAACTTTAAGGAAAATGAACAATTTCCTGGATAGATATCACTTACCAAAATTAAATCAAGA